CGTTTCTGGCCAGCCGGGGTGGCTGGTTTTTCCCCGATCAGGATTAAGGGGGATTTCCTGAACCTTCGGAGGGATTGCTGTCCTCCCCGAGGTCCTCGGAGTTTCCCCTTTTTTCTATTGACCTCTCCGAGGTCAATAGTGCCTAAATCGGCTCCTAAATCGGAGATATTAGGGACCTGCTTGCTTCTAGGTGTTCATAGATCTGTTGCTTGACTATCTTTCCCAGGATCTTCCCATCTATTGATGCTGATTAATCTATAGTTTCCTGAATCTGGGCTGTGTATGAAGAATGAATTAAGCAGCTCTCTACTGCCTGTTACTTCCTTGTTATCTTCTCTCATTAATGGACAGGTTGTTCCCTTGACTTTTTCTTGTTTTTGTAAGTTGAAAGAAACATTTTTGTTATTATTTTTGACATTTGTTACAAGTCTTATTTCATTCTGAGCCTTAGCTTTTCTGACTTTATCTTTGCAAGTTTAGGTTATTTGATGATATTCTATGTGTCCCTCTTTCCATTTTTTTGTACTTATACTTTTTGTCTTTCAGTTTATCAGAGTATTCTTTGTGTAACCATGCTGGTTTCTTCTTTGATTTCTTGTTTTTCTTTTTCAGTGGTATTGAGCTGGACATATTTTCAGAGTTTCCAAAGCTTCTTGAATTGTTTCCTCCTTTAATATTTTCATCCATGGAATCCTTCCCAAGCTCTCTCTGTTAAAATCAGCTCTTTTAAAGTCTACTGGTTTTATTATGTTCTATTGCTTGTGTTGGTGTTATACTGAATTCCAATATGACATAATCAGTCTCCTCCAAAGTTCAACCCCTTCTATCACTTCTTTTCGTTAGTAAGAATTAGGTACAGATTAGCTGTTCCTCTAGTTTCCACTTCTACATTTGAATGACAAAGTTGTCAGCGAGGTTGGTCAGGAACCTGTTGATCTCTCACTTGATGCAGAGTTTGTTTCTCAGTTGATGTCAGGGTAGTTAAAATTCCCCATTACATTTGTTAACTGATTAACAAAAAGCTATCTATTTCTTCTGTTTGGTTAGGTGACCCATAGTATACTATGGTATAGTATAGTATACACCTATGACAATGTCTTTTTTCATTTTATTTTGACCCATATGCATTTCAGGAGGCTTTCATTCAGTAGGTTTGGCGAACTAGTAGCGAATATTGGGGCTAGTTTGCCAAACTGGTAGCAATCACTGGTTGGCCATGCCCTCGAACCAGTCTGCAGCCCGCAGTCCTGCCATGCTTGCCTGCCTTCAATGTAGCCTTCCAGGCATCCCAGTGGCCAGCTTGCAAAGGCAGGCAAGCAGAAGGCCATGTGGAAGGCAGGCAAGCATGGCAGAGCTGCGGGGAAGAGAATAGGCTGCTAGCCCCCTTCCCCGCAGCCCTGCCATGCTTGCCTGCCTTCCACGATGCCTTCCCAGCATCCCGGTGGCCAGCTTGCGAAGGCAGGCAAGCAGAAGGCCACCTCGAAGGCAGGCAAGCATGGCAGGGCTACAGGGAAAGGAGCTAGCAGCCTACTCCCTTCCCCGCAGCCTGCCATGCTTGCTTGCCTTCCACGCTGCCTTTCCAGCATCCTGGCAGCCAGCTTGCAAAAACAGGCAAGTGGAAGGCCACGTGGAAGGCAGGCAAGCATGGCAGAGTTGCGGGGAAGGGAGCTAGCAGCTTACTCCCTTCCCTGCAGTCTTGCCATGCTTGCCTGCCATCCACACTGCTTTCCCAGCAGTCCCCCATGCTCGCTTGCCTTCCAAGGTCAGCGTCCAGCCCAGCCAGGCCAGTGGATGGTGGCTGGCCCTTGGTGGAGCTGCCGCTGCTGTGATGCCCCAGGACATGTGCAGCAGCCCCTCCACTGCGGCGCTGCCACCCTTCTGAGCCTTGGAGCAGGGGCTGCATCTCTACCAAGGCTGCCCACACTCAGCCTTACCAATGCTCTGGCTCCATTGGGCATGCTGAACATGCCGATAGAGGATCTAGAAGGTAAGGCTGATGCTGGCAGTGAGGGATGGAGAAAGATCCACTGTGCTCAGCTCCTCGGAGGGACATGGCAAGGTTCACTCACCTTTTGGGTCTGGTGCACTTGGCTTCCATGGGGCCTTTGGCCGCCAGCCGCTTGCTTGCCTTCCCCTCTGCCTTGGGTCCTGCCTGCTCTCCTGGAGCACTGCCACACTGCTGCCATTCACTTTTTTCCTTCTCCCACTGTGAAATAAAAGCGAAAGGCAGCGGGGTTGCCTCAGGAGGTTGCTTTGGGAAGGCAGATGTCTGAAGCCAGGCAGGGAGGGAAGGTGGCAAGAACGGCGGCGGCAGGCAAGGGAGCGCCAAGATGAAGGGCTACTCGCACTGGCGTGCCTGGATAAGCACTGCTGCCCAGGCCGAAGGGAAAGTGCTGCGGGCTGTGTGGTGGTGCGGTCGGGATCCGGCCCACTCCCTGCACGGGGGGGGGGGGCTTCTGCCCCTCTTACTCTGTTTCTTCACTGCCGGGAAGTGGTGGCATGGCTGAGCCTCCTTCCCCCGGAGGACCAGACTCTGTGGGTCAAGTTCCTGGAGTGGCGCTGGTGGTCAAAGAAAACAGGCAGGTGGGTGGGTGGGTGGGAATCCAGTGGGCTGCTTCAGAGCCCCAAGCCCCGCATAGCTGGCATGGGAGTCATGGGTGGAAGGTGGCCTTTTCTGCCATGGCTTAGGACCCGGGTACTTACGGGACCGCCTGCTGCCACCAGTAGCAACAATTTTTAGATTTCACCACTGCTTTCATTCATGGTTTTGTGCATTTTGTAGAGATGCAGTAATCCCTTACATATACTGTAACTTCATCTCCTCTTTTGTTACGTCTGTTTCTTTTGAACAATTTGTATCCTTCCATTATTGCATTCCAGTCATGAATTCATCCCACCAAGTTTCAGTAATGGCTACTATATCATACTTACTCTCATGTACTAGTTCTTCAAGTTCACCTTGTTTGTTCACCAGATTTTGAACATATGTGGCTAGGCATTTGAGTCCTTTATCGCTCACCCTAGGTATGTTTCCTATATTTCTATATAGGAAGATCCTAAGGATTGGTCACCCTGCCCTCTCAATTTTAGTTTAAAGCCCTTCTGATTAGTTGAGCCCGTCATTTTCTGAATACATTCTTCCAAGTTCTTGTGCAGTGCAGCCCATCCCTTGTCAAAAACTCTTCATGTAGGTAATGCAGACCATGGTCTAGAAATCCAAATTCCGGTGGTGACGACATCGTGAGCGGGGTGAGGAACGGCAGCTGCCATCTCTGGAACCCCAATATTCCTTGATAGAAGCCTTTTAAGGGCTTTTCCGATCCCGTAGAGATTGGAAAATAAGAGGGGAAGTTCTAAAGCCTCTAGACGCAGCGCTAGTGTCGAAGGGGAAACGGGACAACCCCCCCCGAATCTATCAAAGAAAAAGTCCACTCTTCGGGCAAACAGGAGCGATGGCGGCCGCCTAGAGTGAAGCTATCTATAGAAAAGCGGTTTCGAGTGGCAGAGCAGAGCGGAGACCCCCAGCAGCATGGCGTGATGAGAGAAAAGCGGAGAAGAAGGACCGCTATCATATAAACCAATTTATGGTGGTGACTTACAAATGGAGCGCATATACCAGGTCAAAACGGCAGTGAGTGAAACAAAACCTCGTGGAGTGACGAGCAATCCGGCGGTGGTGAAATAAGCACAAAAGAAGAAGACCATGGATGTTGATCTTTCATTGGAAGTATAGATGAAAACACCACTCATGCTCCTTAACTTTATTGCCTAGCTGCTCATAATTTCTAGATATTATTTTCTGGTTCATTGTCATGTCCTTTGTCCCTACACGAAGGAAAAGAAAGGGATAATAATATGTGGCCTTGATTATTTTGGTAAAACTTTCAGCCACATCTTTGATTTTTGCTCCAGAGAAATAACATTCCTTCCTCAATTGAATGTCCACTCTACAGATGGCTGGTTCTGTTCCTCTGGGAATGGAATCTCCTATCATCAAGACCCACCTTTCTTTTCCAGGGATGTCTGAGCTACTTTTCTTCCTTTCACAGGAGCACTTCATGATCAGCTCCAAAGGGACTGGATATATTTTATTTTTATTTAACTCTTTGCGTTCCAATAATAGCAGCCAGATGACCGTTGTTAAAAACATACATTAAAAACTGCATTTTATAAGAAGAATTAAAAATCTAAATCTATTTTGTTACAGATTGATTTTTCTGTTTATGAGAACCCAAAATAGTTAGATCCCAGTTCATCAAGCTTTTAGATAACTGTTATGAAGTTCAAATAAGATGTTTCAATTAATGTCAATAACAAGAAAGGGCACAGAGTTAAAACTGCTATATTGAGAAAAAGGTGATCTTGGAGGCATGGGCAATAATGCAAAGTTTTTGTTGTTCCTAGTATTTAAATTTTACTTAAAGAATGAAGACTTCCTTAACTATTAAAAGAGTGGCAAGTGAATCTATTTTATGGAAGACAGAGTTCAAACCCAATTATCAAGACCATTCTGTATCATATATATCAATGTATGCCATATATCTTTGGGTGAAAAGTAGCCTGGAGTGAAGTTGCGATGAACCAAAACATACATATACAGCCTTAAAAACGAATATGGCTTTTTGTTTCTCCTCTCTAGTAATTGCCTAGAAGGCTTTATCAAGGTGAAGAGCAACAGAACCCGGATGATAGTTCTTTGGGCAGTTTGTGAGCTGTAGGACCAAGGACAGGGACTTCCTGGGATTTTAATCAGCAGGCTTCGTTTACAACAGGGGTGTCAAACTCGATTTCATTGAGGGCTGCATCATGGTTGTGTTTGACCTCAGGAGGGTGGGGGGCGTGGCCAGAGCCAGCTTGAGGGGGAGCCTGTGGTGGCCCGAACACTCTGCCAGCAAAAACATGTGCAGCCCTCCCGAGCTCTGTTTCCGGCTGCAATGGTTTTTTGCAACCCTTTGCCAATGAAAATGGAGCTTGCATAAAAATATACAAGATAGACTTACTTCAAGAGGGACAGCTGTTGGAGGCACAGGAGTGTACTGGGGAATATAGGTCCCTTGCATAGGTGCAGCAGCCGTCATATACTGGAAGAAGAAGAAATTATCATTATTGTATAACTAGAGCATCCTAAAATTGGAAAGGAGGATAGGTCATTGAGTACAATTGCCTTGGTCAGTGCAGTTAAAATATTCTGATTGATAGATGTCTAGCTTCTACCTGAACATACTAATGCACAAGAGCCGTCCATCTCTTGGGTAACTGATTCTATGTCAAACTGCTCTTGCTATTAGAATGTTTTTCTAACATTTAACCAGATTCTGAATTCTTATAATTTAAATGCATTATTTTGTGTCAGGGACACTGGAAAAAATGCATTATTTTGTGTCAGGGACACTGGAAGAACAGACCATGTCCTCCTATATGATATCCTTTCAAATATTTGAAGAATACTCTCTCAAGGCTGAACATTTGCATTTTTTCTTAATTTTCTTTATGCCATTGTCTGAATCCTTCTTGAAGTATAATGCCCAAAGTTAATCCCAGGACATGAAATGGATCTCATCAATATAGAATAATATGGAACTACTTCTTCATATGCTTTGAATATTACATCCTGATTCAAGCCAAATATTTTTATTTATTTATTTCAGCTATATCATAAAGGAAGGGAAAAAAAGAAAGTCAATCTTGCTGGACTCACTGAAATGGTCACTATACTCTACCCAATTATATACAGGATTGAATTTCACACAGTATTATGACTCCAAATCTTTTGAACAACAGCAGGAAAAGTGGTAGTTGTAAATAAAATAATTCTTTAAAAGTATAGCATGCAGTGCCTTTATCATGGTTAAATAAATTTCAATCAATATTGCTAACCAGCAGTAAACATTTTATACAACTGAAATACCATGCAGCAGAACTGTTTTTATACTATACTTATGACCAACATACATATATGAGTTACTTCATGCAATAAATAATGGGATTTTTAAAGTTCCATTGATTTCAGCAGGAAAATGACCCATTAGATGCTTTCTCCCCAGCTGAAAATCATTAATGCTGGAATTGCTTTAAATTGCTTGGCTTAAACCAACTATAATAGCAGAGTCTACTGATATATTATATCAGTAATCTAATTTTTATCTTTTAAACCTAGGGCTAAATCTGGATTTGCTGCTAATAATGTTAATTATTGCATTTTTAAAGAAAATATGGATGATTTGCAGAGGTAGGAAAAGGTTTACATCAGGACTATAATATAGAAAAATGAATGTTATTTTCTAAAATCCCAAATAGCTTCTCTCACATATTTACTGTTTGATTTAGAAAGAAGAATCCACTGGTATTAATGAGTCTCTCTTCTGGGATACCAGCATTGGTTTGGTATAATGGTTACAGTGCTAGATTAAAAACTGGCTGTAAATGCCTTCCTTAGAAGGGAAATTGGCAAGAGTTGAAGTCAAACTCTCTCAGCCCTGCCCTATAGAGTTGTTGTGGGAAAAAGAAGAGGAGCAAGCCTTATGTATGCATGCAGCCTTGAGCTGTAAAAAATAAAGGTGGGATATAAATCTAATGAATAAATATGTGATGGCAGAGTAGGAACATTGAGGCAGAAAACAATCTAAAACATTAAAGCATTAATAAAAAAAAGACGCCTTAATTTCTACATATTTTCACTTTTGTAGAATGCAAGAAAAAAACTGAAATGTGTTTGCCCCAATCTCCCAAAGGTTACACGTTCAAGACTTTAAAAATATCATGCTCAACACAATATGCTTATGGTCTAAAGATTTTTCCCATTGATATTTGATCCAAAAAATAAGAAAAAGAAATGTCTGACACCATAATTACTCCTCTTTAGTAAATGGTCTAGAGATTAGAGTTAAATACAGTATTTTCAGTATATTTCCTCTGGCATATATTTATTCATTTTAATTGTCATTTTTACACACATACACACACCCCAGTGGTTTTATCCAGCTCGCACGAACTGGTAGTGCCGGAGGTGGGAGGCTCTGCCCCTCTGCCGTGATGTCATTACATCCCATTTTTGACCCTCTGTGCATGCGCAGAAGAGGCTCGTGCGCTCACATTCCCGAACCGGTAGCGAAGGTAAGTGCATTTCACCACTGACACACACACACACATACACACTTATATGATTTGAAAAGAAACCAGAGTATATTTAAAACATTTATATGACTATCCAAAGTAACTCTGAGCAGCAAATGAAGCAATCCCCCCACAAAATATGTAATACACATGTTCACAAACAAAAATGAAACAATAAGACAATAAAATGGTGATTCAAACAGCAATAACATCTAATCAGAACTCTAATGACCCAAATTCTTTGGAAAAAAAACAGATTTTGACAGCATTTCTACCAAATACCAACCAAATGTCAGGAAGAAAATTATTTTGAAAGATGGGAGCCATCATCAATGTTGGTGTTGGTCACCACCTTTAAAGCGCTCCATGGCATAGGACCCGGGTACCTTCGAGACCTTCTTCCGCCACCAACAGCCTCCCACTGACCAGTCCGCTCCCACAGAGAGGATCTCCTCAGGGTGCCATTGGCCAAGTCATGTCGGCTGGCGACACCCAGGGGGAGGGCCTTGTCTGTGGGAGCCCCAGCCCTGTGGAATGAACTGCCCCCGGAAATTCGTAAGATTTCTGACCTCCGGATATTTCGCTGTGCACTCAAGACCCTATTGTTGGACTTCCGCTGGCTCCGCGAGCTTTGAAAGACGTTCTTTTGAGAGCGTCTGCTCCCTGGCTCCGTTAAAGCCCCAGAACAGCCGACAAATGCTATCTGGAGGCTTGAAATTCTCTCCCCGGGCAAAGGGGAGAGAGAAGAGCAGGCAGGTGGAGGTAGAACCCCCCCGAACGCCCTAGGAAAAATCCTGGGGCGTGAAGGGCGCGTGTTCCCTGAAAGCCTGTCAAGCCGCTCCAGACCAGGGACGTCTCCGCTAATTAGCTAATTAGCGGAATTAGAAGCCGCGACCAATCTTGCTGAATGGAAATGAGGGAATTAACATCTTGAACAAACAGCAGGCGGAACGAGCAAGGAGAAATCAGACTGCAAGTATTTTTTACCTAACTCCAATGCCTAGAGCCTCCTTCGGAAGTAATCACTTAGTACTTTGCAACAATATGGCGATTGAAGCTTGAAAGGGTGGGGGAAACGGAAAGTTACAGGAAAAGTTTCGTTTTGCTGGCAGTCCTTCGCTTGGGGAAAAAAAAAAGCTTTTGTGCTGACAGAAGGAGGATTTTAAACGTTAATTAACATTGGGAAATCTTTTGAGGAACTCTTCTTTTTGACTCTGATTAAATATAAAGACTAATTTCAAACTGGAAATGGCCTCAAAGTCTGTAAAAACTGTTCCTACTAAAGGAACTGGGAGTGCTGGTAGCTCCCCAGCTCATATTCCTAGATCACAAGTTTCTGCTCCTCCAGCGGATCCACAGACTTTAACGTTGGAAATGTTGCAACAAGCTCTCCAAATCACCCAAAATAAAATTGTTGATGTGATTGATGAAAAAATTAAGGAAACTAATGAAAAAATTAAGGAAACTAATGAAAAGATACAGGCTGTGTCAGATGAGATTGCAATTCGCAATCAGGGGATTAGGGATGATATATTAATGGCATTTAAGTGTCTGGCAAGCAATATTGAGATGGTGGATGACAGAGTTGAGGAAATTAAACAATCTTCTGAAATTTTGGATAGCAAAATAGGAGAAGCTCAAAACAGAATTCAAAGGGCTGAAGACGATGTAATAATGGTACAATACAGAGATATGGAATTTGCTTTAAGATTTAGAGGGGTGAAGGAGAATAAACAAGAGAATTTGAGAGAAATGATGTCTGAGGCATTGGCACCGCTGGTGGGGGAGTCCAAAAATGATCTGGGCTGGCAGATGGACAAGCTGTACCGTGTTAACTCCTGGATTGCTAGACAGAAACATCTACCAAGAGACATTGTGATATATTTTACTACAAGGAGAGTACGCAACGAAATTTTACAGGCTACTTTTAAAAACAAGCTTCGGGTGGAAGGCCAGGAAGTAATGACAATGAAAGAAATCCCCCCTAAGATCTTGAGAGCTAGAAGGGAGTATGCCTTTCTGGTGGATGAACTGAGAAAACGTCAGATACAGTACAGATGGGAGGTGCCAACTGGACTAGTGGTGACTTATTCAGGAGAGAGATATCGGCTTAACACAATTTGGAAAGCAAGAGACTTTCATACTAATGTATTAAAGGCTGGCACACCCAAATCAACTAAATCACCAGAAGGCAAAAGAAAGAAAGAAGTAATGGAAGCTGAGACAGAAGAACTCTTGACAGTAGTTCAGCGGGGAGCTTTGGCTGATCAAGAAGAAATACAAATTCAAATGGCTACTCAAGAGTTGGCGCTGATTGATTTCTCGCAGTTACCAAAGGATCAAAGACAGACCAGATCGGTGACAGCTAGACTCAAGGAAGAATTAAGACAGCAACAATCCCAGATGGCAACTCAAGAAATGATTCAAGATACTACTAGAACAGGAGCAGTGGGGGGAGCAAGACCTAAAAGTCAAATGAGATCAGAGCATCAGGACTTGCTTCAGAGGCAAGTAAAAGGAGAAAAAATACTTGTACTTGGAGTTTATGCCCTGAATCAACAACAAGAAAACTTTTATAATTTACTACATTCAAAATTGACACACTGGGCATATAAAACTTGTATCCTGTTAGGCGACTGGAATGGTGTTTTGGATATTAAAAAAGACAAGATGGGACCTAAACAAAATGTGTCAACAAGAGCAAAATTGCCCAAAGCATTTTGGGAAATGATGGATGACTGGGAGGAGTTGAGAGATATCTGGCGTGAAAGAAACCTGGAAGAAAAAGATTTTACTTTTTTTTCAGATAGACATCAATCCTTTTCAAGGATTGATTTTATATTAATTACTAACGATCTTTTATCCAGGGTGAAAAATACGAAGATTTGCTCAAGAACATTGACAGACCATAGTCCAGTTTGGCTGGAATTGGAGTATGAGAAAGGGCCTAGGAGGTCCTGGAGGTTAA